TGCCTTTTTTTAGCATCTAGCCTTTATATATTATTATTTTTGTTTGTTCTCTATTACATTTTGAAATTTTTGGACATCCTGCATTCATTTTAGGTAATACTATTACTCTGCTGTCTTGTTCATGCCCAGCTTCTCCTATATTCTTGGTTCCTGCTGACTTCTTAAATTCTTTTCAGATCCCTCCCAGGTCTAGTTTCAAAGCTCCTACAGTATTATAACCATTTTCTCCCTCAACAGAGCTGCACCCTTACATTTTAGATGCAGTCTATCCCTACAGTAGAGCCAGTAGCCAACCAAGAAGATGGTCCAGTTTTTCATGAAACCAAACCCCTCCTTCTTACACCAACTTCTCAGCCACTTGTTCAGCTCCTTTAGCTCCTGTTGCCTCTTTGGTTTGACTTGTGGCTTTATTTAAGAAAATATTACCCTTTTCTTAAGCTTGGTACCTAAGTCCTTAAAATCTCTTTTTAGGATGCTCCATCTTCCCCTAGTTTTGTCATTTTTTTTCAATATGTACCATAACAGCTGGGTCTTCCCTGGCCCCACTTAACAATATGTCAACCTGTTCCACAATGTGTTCAACCAGCATGCCTGGTGAACACAATGTTTAGCGACCATGGTCTTTGCAACACATTACCCTTCTCATCCTCCTTATAACCGAATCCCCTACCACCACTATCTATCTGCCCCCATCTTTACTGAAAAAGTCACTCCCCTGGCAGCTGGAAGATCCATTGCTACACCTATGCTGATACCCCTAGCCTCATGCAAATGGGCATTTTTTGGGGGTGTATTAGCTCTGGACTAGACTCTAAAACCTTCCCCCCTTCCCCCTGCAACTCCATTTCTCCTCCATGCTGACCACTGCCAGTTCCTGGTAGGTAAGGTCAGAACTCCTTTCTATGTTGACAATGCTCTGCAATGTTGCAAGCTGAATTTTAAGATCCTAAGTCAGGGCTTCCAAACAAACCACTCACATTTTATACAACAGTATTCTCTCTTGAACACTTGCTTAAGGTACAAGTGCATGGAGTAGGATGTGTTCTGAGATACATTTTCACTTATGGGAGACATAATTGTCTTTAGCTTTTGGAGATACATATTTAAATTTTTTTAGAGCACTGTCTTTTTTCTAGAGCACTGTCTCAATAAACAATGCTGTTATAGTCAAGTTGCTAAACTTAGCCCTGATTTGCTCAGCAAGTACCACAGTGCCCTTATAGTATCAGTGTTTCTGCGGTATCACAGTGTCCCAGAAATACCACAGTGCCAGCACAGTATCAGAATCTCCTCACTATCACTGTGCCCCTGCAGTACCAATGCCCCAGAGGTATTACCAAACCCCCATATTTTCACTGCACCCCTGCATCATCACTTTCCCCCTACACTCTACAATATCAATGCCTCTCCAGTATCTCTATGCCCTGCAGTGTCATAGTATCTCCATATTTTCACAGAACCCCTGCAGTATGCATTTAACTTACCCATATCTGTCAGTGCCTAGAATGATATACAGGCAGGAAAAGAAATGTGTACTTACATTGCTCTCTCTGACTGACAAGGACCAGTGGCCAGGCAGATATTGGTAGCATTAATGTCCCTTCCATGCAGGATGTGTTTTGCACATTTATGGTGCCATTAAAGAAGGACAGACGATTGGTCTGTCACCCACTGTTCAGTAAAGTGGTGTCACAATCTGATAGAGACAAAACTAGGCTTAGTAAATAAGGCAAGCAAACAAGCAACTAACTGATCGGAATGTATTCTTCAGTGATCTAGTTTCAGCAAATTTAAATTCTGTTGGGTAGCTATGGGCCAGTTGAACTTTAGCTTTGTTCTGGGGTGGACTGACAATGCATGCGGTCCCCAGACAATAGGGGATCATGGGGCCCCTGTGTCCTTGCCCAAACTTAAAAAAGCCTATGAAAAAGGAACCAGGGGCATCTCATGGGGCCCCCTACTGACCCCGGGCCCTCTGCTTTGTTCACTACAGGTCAGGAAACATTCAATCATCTTTTTTTATTTCTGGTATTTATTATCCAGTGGTGGCTCTATATAAAACAGATGTCTTAGTGTCTCTAAAAAGCAAAGTCTACATTTAATGTTTAGATAAATAGAAGACACGGTATATAACAAAAGGGGTGGAATATGTACAAAGGGGCATAACTATTCACATGCTGTGTAAGGAAGATGAATACACTCCTGAATATAAAAAAAATGAAATTATGCAATAGTACTGTAATGACCTCTTTGTAAGGAAGGTGAGACAAGTGAAAAACGTACATTTAAAACTAGGATTTCCCTCATCCTCTCAGCTAGAAGTAGTGCTTTTCTTGCAAGTACGCATCTTCAATACATGCAATTTATTTTTTACAAGCTCTGCACTCCTCTACGTTTCCTGCAAGCTTTGCATTTGTGAAGTAATCTGACCACGCAGTATAAGATACCACGGTCCCTCAGGCGCTCTTTTTAAGATTACGGTGACAAGGTGGCGGGATCTAAGCTTCCTTTACGCTCCTTTTTCATGCCATAGTATTACATTATGCCAAGTGAAAACCATTGCACACAGCACTGAGTTTTTCCAGAGTCCCTGAAGTGGATGGATTAATTAGGACTGCAGATAGCAGCAAATCACATGATCTTCTAGTTAGGAACAAAGAGAATGACTTCCTAAGCGCTGACTACTGTACTGTTCACTCAATTCAGCTGAGAGATGAGGTTGTTTTACGTTTGAATGGGCAGATTGTGCTGTTAATTGGTGAAGTTGCTGTTTTTTATTATACATCATTTTGTAGGCATTTTAAAGCATCTAAGTCAGTAGTTTGTAGGCACTACAAGAATGATTAGTTATCATTATGAACTCAAATGGGCAAATGGGAAAAGCTTTCATTTAATTCTATGTACGCGTTGACTTAATTATCTGCAGTCCCTTTATATGTTATTCTTTGCATACTAATTTTCATTTTCAGCCAGACAGTAGACACATCTACATTGCTTTCTAAAATGGGAAAGAAGGGACTCAGAAGAGAAGATTGACCCAAGATAATATGAGACGTTTTTTTTTTTAAGTTGTAGCTTTGTTGCTACCATTTCACATGCTCCATTGCTAGGTGTGACAAGTGTTTACATGGCACCCAAATGGTCAGACAAAATTCAGATATAATATACAATCACCACTCGTGCCAACTAACAAATATCAAAATAACTCTTATTAGCAGCTGCCACTTATCCCAAAGGATATAAAGAAATGTATGTCACCGATGGCGCTTGCTACCCACCATTAACATATGTAAGCAATTGTGATCATAAAAACGTAATAGTATAAACTAGTAAGTGCAAATGATTAAATAAAAAAAAGTCCTTATATAAGTGCAAAGTCCCAAATCATAAATAATCCATAGGATTCAACATAAGATGACCAAGAAATCCATGTAAAGTTATGAAAGTGGTTTTATCCACTGTTCCCACTACCGAGTGATCACCAGCAATGATTAGAAACACTCCTCACCAGATGCCATTGACCTCCTTGTTATACAACAAGAAAAGTCATATAGCACTTTGTGGTTTCCCTGGGACCAGGGGCGGACTGACCATTTGGAAACTCGGGCACTGCCCGATGGTCCGGGGTCAGTAGGGGGCCCCATGAGATGCCCCTGGTACCATTTTCATAGGCTTTTTTGAGTTTGGGCAAGGACACAGGGGCCCCATGATCCCCTATTGCCCGGCGGCCCCATGAGTTGTCAGTCCGCCCCTGCCTGGGACCTCCTTGTTCAACACCTCTCTCCATTTTCACCTCCTCCCCAACTGGTTAAATGGTACTTCAATGGCAATTAAATGGCATGTATTCCAAAAAATAAAGAGGATTCTCTCATAACATAAAACCGTAGGATTTAATAGCATAAAAATGGTTCACATAAAAAATATCCATCCATAAATATAAATACTAGGGAAAACTATAAACTGTTACCCTTCTGATCACATGGGAGCCACGGGCCACTCGGAATGCATTCCACACCAAACCGGAAGTGACGCACTGGAAGTTCCACTTGATGTGGTTCATCATCAAAGCATGAAGTCTTCTCCGGTGTGTCACTTCTCATTTAGCGGGGGGACACCGCAGCTTGGCTCCCACACCCCACTCTCTCCTCACAGGCTGAAACCAATGGCTCCCTCTACTGCCTCCATGCCCAGTGAGGAGAGAGAGAATGGAGAGAGCCAATACTCTGAGGCACAGAGCTGGATTGAGGTACTTATGGGGGACTGATGGGGGGGGGGTCCTGGGCACAGAAGTGTTTTCACCTTAATGCAGATAATGCATTAAGGTAAAAAAAACTTCTACCTTTACAATCACTTTAATATATTATGCATGCATATTGTCATTGGTTCAAGAATTCATGAGATTGATGCTGTTTGATTAAAGTTCTGCCAGCTCAGATTGTGGCTGAAAACAGGTGTAGCCAGGGCACTTCTGGACAGATTCCAGCTAAAAACACACAGGTGCTCAGATGACAATGACTACAGAGCCAGAAGTTGTGATCTTTTTAGTCTTTCTTCATGTTTTATGTTGGAGGTATTTAGATCAGCTTTTAAATGAATGCAAGCATGTAGTAAAATGTATTATTTTCTACAGCACCATGCTCTCTGATATTTATCTGTTTAACATTTGTGTGTTTAACCACTTGCCTACTCGGCACTTATACCCCCTTCCTGCCCAGGCCAATTTTCAGCTTTCAGCGCTGTCACACTTTGAATGACAATTGCGCGGTCATGCAAGACTGTACCCATATGACATTTTTATCATTTGTTCACACAAATAAGCTTTCTTTTGGTGGTATATACTGACTGCTGGGTGTTTTATTTTTTGTGCTATAAACAAAAAAAGAGCAAAAATTTAAAAAAAAAACAGTTTTTCTTTGTTTCTATAAAAAATTTTGCAAACAGGTAAATTTTTTCTCCTTCACTGATGTGCGTTGATGAGGCTGCACTGATAGGCAGCACTAACGGGCACTGATAGGCAGCACTGATGGGCACTGATAGGTGGCACTGATGAGGTGGCAAGGATAGGCAGCTCTGATGGGCACTGATAGGCAGCACTGATAGGCAGCACTGATGAGGCGGTACTGATATGCAACAATGATGAGCACTGATGGGCACTGATAGATGGCACTGATAGGTGGCACTAATGGGCACTGATGGGTGGCACTGCTGGGCACTGACTGGTGGCACTGCTGGGCACTGATGGGTGGCACTGTTGGGCTGCACTGATGGATGGCACTGCTGGGCACTTGTTGGTGGCACTGATGGGCACAGGTGGGTGGCAGGGTGGCAGTGATGGGCACAAGTGAGTGGCACTGCTAGGCACTTGTGGGAAGCACTGCTGGGCACAGGTGGGTGGCACTGGTGGGTGGCACTTCTGGGCACTGATCCCCAGGGCACTAATCATCAGTGCCCTGATGATCGGTGCTGATCCGTCCTCTGACAATTGCCAGTTATCGGCAGTACTTTCCTCATGCTGTGACAGCGTGATGCTGTGACAGCGTGAGCACGGCTGAGCACGTGGTAAAAGGCTGCTGTGATTGGCTTTTTACCACATTACCTAATCAGCTGTGTCCGTATAAGAAAAGATCTTATAGATCACTTCAGGCTGGTCCCTTTTGCAGGTATAATCATATAAAACATTAAAAATAAGAGCCTATACTGTTTAAAATCTAGTAATACATTATAATCTAGTACTGCTCTGCACATGCTCAGTTGCTCTCTATTTTTCAGCACTGTGTGAAAATGTAGAAGCCGATCAGCAGACAGTCTAAAGATTTACTGCTGCTCTGGAGCTCCAGGCTTCAACAAAATGGTAGCCTCCAGCCAGAAGAAACAGAAACAACGCTGGTGGCAATTTACAGCACACACTAATTTGATAGCATAATTATTTTTGTGGAATGTTTGTTCCTTGCTAAAGAACATTATTTTTTATCACATTGTCATGGGTAAAATTCTACTTTAACATCTTAATACCAACCTTAGTAGCTATTTTTTAATATACAATCTGTACTGCATTTTCCTGATGTGAAATGCATGTTATTGTATTGGACTACAAATCTCAACACAAGTTAAAAAAAAAAACATTGCATTCTAAGAAGCCCAGTGACTATGAACCCTACCTGATGGCAAAGTGTTATATAATATACTTTTAAATAAATCAGTTTTGAAGTCAATTAAAGCAGAACTAAACTCTAAATCAGCATTAACTATCTTGTATCTTTATGCTGTTAGCATTAGTAAATAGAAAGGAAGTTATTTTATATTTACATGTTTTCAACTCTTTTTTTTTTTACAACTTACAATTGTCTCAGTTTCTTCCTGGTTTTCAGCCTAGGTCAAAATGATGTCATACATCCCAGGAGTCTTCATGGGCATTGTTTTCTTTCATCAGGGAGAGCAGAAGAGGAGCTTTCTCAGCTAAGCACACCCTCCTGCCTGAATGCCTGAGCTAAGAGCAGATGGATTCCAGGAAAAATGCAACATGAATCATCTGCTGTTACTTAAGATGGCTACAGACGGGGATGATTTTTAAGTGATTTCTCAAAATAAAGCATGGAGCCATGGATGGAAGAGTTTGCTTTACATATTAAAAATGAATGAAATAGTGTTTTCAGATAAAGTTAGGTTCAGCTTTAAGATGATGTACACTAATTTAAAAAGGTTTAATGCAACTGCTTTCCTGGATAAGTGTTGCACAAAAGATCTTGTAAATAATTTGCAATAGTGCTCTGTTGAGACTGAAGAATAATGTTTTAATAATTAGGAAGTTCACAAAAAATGTATGGATATTATTACCTAATGGTTTAATCAACTCATGAAATCTTCAAGGAAATCAATTTACTAAAAACATGCTGACTACAAAATTATACATCATCATACAACATCTAACAAGGATTTAAAGTGAACCTGTGGTCAGACTATAGACATAAAATAAAAAGGACATATACGATGTGGTCTGTGGCTAACATTAATGCAGCAGTTTTTGTTTTTTTTTCCTTTAACATTGCTTTATTACCTCTTGATCTTGTCAGTAGATCCAATGTTTTTTTTATTTTTTTTATTTCCTGTAACAAGCTAAGTTATGCAGCAAAAGCAGTAGCTACAGTGTTTGTATGATCCATATTACACTTCTGAGGGTGTTTACAATTGTGACATCACTGCCCCTCCTCTTCACCTTGTCCAGTCAGAGAACTCCTTGTGTGCATTGAAAAAAAAAGTATTCAATGAATAGCAGCAGTACCAAACGTGAGATCCCCCCCCCCCCCAGTGTGCAAAGTGGAAGATGCTCATACAAAGACCAAGCATACCCAGAAGATCTTGGCTATCACTCTAGTAGCATCAAATACTACAGTGATGTTTAGCATCCTGAAGGGCCCATCAGGTGTGACATATGTACAGTATACTGTGCTTACATTGTGCCAAGCTGGACTAATGTAAATATACAATGCAGATAATTTCCTGAGAGAGAAACCTGACATCTGAGCTCCGGATGGGAAGGGAGGGACAGAAGGAGCTAAGCTGTTGAATGACTTTAGTGCTTTTACTGTGAACTTTGAGGATGAATTGCTCCATGGAGGCTGCAGCTTGTTAAATAGATTTTGGTGTTATTTAACCATTACTGTGTTTTTATTTTTTATTATATGAATGAAAAAAAACATTGAACATTTTGAAAAATTTTGAAAAAAAAAAGCAAACAATATTTTTTACTTTCTGCTACAAAACATATCCAGTAAAAAAAAATACAAGAAAAACGTCTCCATACATTTAGGCCAAAATGTATTCTGCTACATGTCTTTGGTAAAAAAAAATTCCAATAAGTGTTTTGCATAAAAGTTATAGCAACTACCAAATTATGGGATATATACTGGAATTTGTATTTATTTTTTTTATACCAGTAATATGTTGGGACTGTGAAAGTGCAGTGGGAAATCTGATACTAACCGACACTGGGTTGGAACTGACCAAAAGTCATTGACATCTCCAGTGACATTAATACAGTGATCAGTGCCAATACTATATACTATCACTGTACAAATGACACTGGCTGGGAAGGTGTTGATATCTAGGAGCAATCAAAGGGTTAACTGTGTGCCTAACAATATTTACTATGTGTAGTATGTGCTGCTTTTACTAAGTGATATGCCTGTTTTTACTCCTTGCATTGCAGGGAGAAAATAAAAAGTCAAAAATGCATTAAAAATGCACCGAAACACGTCAAAAATGCACATGCGGAAAAGTATTCTGACCACGGCTCTACCTGCCTGGTGTTTGCATGTTCTCCCTGTGACTGCATGGGTTTCCTCCCACACTTCAAAGACATGCTTGTAAGTTAGTTGGCTCCTGTGTAAATTGACCATTGTATGTATGAATGTGAGTTATGGGCCTTAGATTGTAAGCTCCTTGAGAAGCGCTGCATAAATTGATGGTGCTATATAAATACCAGATATAAATAAGAAGCGCTGCACCAATCACATAGTACTGTGGTACTATGCGATTTTTTGCTCACTGTTTTCAATCTGCATTGGGTTGCTGCTAACAACAGCATGAAGATCACATGATGATCGAATATGGTGTGGAAAACGCACACAGAATGCGTCTTTCCTGTACTGTGATATGGTGTGAACTGGCTGTAAGATAGAAACACATGGGTAAAAAAAGGATATGTGTGAAATGTTGGCTATAACAAAAAAAGAAGAGGGAATACAAAGTAATGATCTGCATGACATCAGCTGCATCGTGCCTCATTATCCAGGTAATTCAACAGTAAAAAGCTGGGTAGTAGTGCTCATTGTCCTTTCTGGAGGTAGCAGATGAAGATGAGCTATGTATGTAAGGAAACGTGGGGGTGGTGATGTGTTTCACATTTAGACATGGCCCAGTAATTGTATTCGGGGCCAGAAGGACAAGCACCTAGGTCTATAATGGAATTCCCACTGGTGCTCTTGGTTGATGAGGTATAACCAAATCTTTAAAGTGGCTGTGATCCTCAGACTTGAAATATGAACAAAGCATATCCCTCTATAGTGTGTACTTGTCTCTATTCAGAGTACTAAGTGCCATTTCTGTCTGCTGCCTCGTTCCTCTGCTATCAGCATTAATCACTTGTGACAAGTTTTCCTGACACCAAGAGAAAAAAGGTGACAGGGCAGGGATGTCCAGCAGATTGACAACCTTAGTTCTGTTCCTGTGAGCTGTTTAGAGGGGGGCAGGTCTTTCCCTCCAATGAGCTCTCAGAGGTTACCTCACTGAGCTCTGCATAGTGTAACTTCAGCTCCCTGCCCCCACTTTCTGGAAGCTCAGTGAAGCTGTATAAATTCTGCACTTTGAAAGGCTGTAAAGAAGAAATGACCCTAGATAAACAGGTACAACGTTTGCAGGAGGATTTGTTTCATCTCTGTGTTTCACCTGTAGCCAGTCACTTTACTGGGTATATGTAAGGTTTACAACCACTTTAAGCACTAATATTTTGCGAAACTTAGTAGAGTTGTAATACAAAGTGTAGGATAAATTCCCCACATGCAAAATCTACCAACGTTTGACAGTCACTTGTTTTGGGGGTACCGTGTCAACCCTTTTTTAGGCAAATAATATCTCAGATCTCTTTGCTTTCCCACCCTACTAATGTATAAATGAGCTGAATATGAGCTAAAACAGTGTAAGTCTGCAGAATTACTAAGAGTACAGTCACACCACCGCGGTGGGACCTCATTGGATGGCTATTCCAGCGCAGTCCCATGACAAGACAAGACAAATGCCTTATATCCTTATCTGCGGTGGTGTGCCATCAGTGTGCGGTAAAAAAAAAACTAATGTGTGCAGGAATTTTTTTCATCACAGTGCAGTTCAAGGCAATCCACTGCCAATTGAACTTTATGAAACGTCTCTATGACATTTCAATAAATTAACCACTTGCTCTCCTGAGGATTTGCCCCCCTTACTGACCAGGCAATTTTTTGCATTACGGCGCTGCATTACTTTAATTGACAATTGCGCAGTCATGCAACACTACACCCAAATGAAATTTCCGTCCTTTTTTTCCCACGAATAGAGCTTTCTTTCACTGGTATTTGATCACCTGTGCGGTTTTCATTTTGTGTGCTATAAAAAAAAAGACCGACAATTTTGAGAAAATAACAATGTGTTTGAATTTTTGCTATTAAACATGTCCAGTAATAATATT